CCTGGCATTTGCCCGCTCACCTGCTGTTTTATACTGCCACTGCGAAACTGCCCTGCCCAGGGGATCTGGTCCCTCTCTACCATGTGATTCCTGTCTCTATCCTCTGCTTTGCACACCTCCCCACTAGTCACAGCTTCTTTACCCCTTTTTGCTCCTTGGCTCTCTTCTTACCTATCAATATGCAGATCAAGGTCTAACTCCTTTATGAAGCTTTTCTTTTGATGCCTCAGCAGGAAATAATCCCTTCCTATTTGTCTGTTGGTTTACTGTGCACAGAAGTCCATCATTTCCCTTGCAATAGTTATTTCATTTATTTGTTACATGACAGTTTCCTCCACTGTTTTGAAAGATCAGAATAGTACTTGATTCCTCTTTTCTTCCCAGAACCTTGCTCAGAGCTTACACTTATTAAAAGCTAAATATATATTGAATGAATGTTTAATGCTTATGTTGGAACTTAGTGGTCAAATACTTCTGTGCTCAGCCTTCCTATTTCAGTCTCCTCCTCTTTATTTCCTTGCATTTTGTTTGAAGTGTCTGTTTCCTTCTGTATGAGCAAAAATGAGCAAAAATAGGGAGGGCAGTGGCAATGCCTTATTATGTTAGAGACCTGCTCATTGTTTGGTGAGGTCCTTGCAAAACTTGTGGTAAAATAAAAGCTTGGTAATAAAATATTTTTATATCCTAAGAAGAGCAGAATACAACCTTTAACTCACAGTTAAAAGAACCAGCTCTTCCATTAACAAGTATATGCTCTTGGGCTAGTTACCTAAATTATGTGAACTTTACTGTCCTCATCTGTAAGATGGTGGTATTGACATCTATATCCCAGAGTTATTGAGCGATCAGATGAAATAGCGTCTTAAAGAATAGCAGGGTCTCAAAAACTGTGAATCCCCCAGCTTCCTCTTGTCTGTTCTTGCTGCCAACATGAGGGTTAGTCCCTCATCAGACTTGTTTCTCTCTACTTCCTGTCTCTCCCTCTTTTGTTCATTTTACCCTAAATCCAGTTTTTATCCTGACCCTTTTGCTCCAAGATTCAATCACCAACAAGACAAAAATCCAATCAGTTTTATTCCAAGGGGCCCCCTTCCTGTGTCCCAGTACCAGCTCCTATCTCAGGCAAAGTAGAACCACATACAGTTCTACTTTTTCATCCCTAGGCCATTTCTCCTGAGGTTCCATCTGCTAATTATGCCCAACTGTTACTTAGAATCCAAATCTTATCCTCAAAACACAGTGCTGGTCTTAATTTCCCAGTTACCAGATAGAATGTGTGCTTGCTTTTCTGACATGTGTAGCCCAATTAAGGTAATTAGTTCTGCATTTCCTTGTTGGAATAGTACTTTTCCTATTGTTTGAAAAGGCCCATTTAATCTTGCCTCACCATTTTTCCTCTTCTACCAGATGTTAAAATCTTCAGGAACAGGGACTATCTTGAATTTCATGTATCTTGGTATTCCGGTCACTGCCTAACATGCAATCTCATGTTTATCCAACCCTATGTGGAACAGTTTACTCTGTGCCAGACATTCAGTACATGAAAATAAATACCAAGACAAGGCATATGAAGATTTCTCACCATAATTATGGAAACAGACAATAAATAGGTGGAATACCATGGATGCAACAGATAGAAGTGTCCATGGATTCTTTGTAACTCCTTTAAAACGGTAAGGTCTTTCCCCTGTCCCTTGAATCTGGGTGTTCTTATGATCTGCTTTTCCAAAAGAATGTAGCAGAGCTGACACTGTGAATTTTCACAGCATGTGCTCTTAGGAGACTAGAATAATGAGAACAAATCAAGGCCACATTTGTTGAAGATGAGAGGCCATGTAAAGAGATGGAGGCCCAGCCTTTCTGGCCATCTCTCCATGAATGAATCCAGGCAACCATGTGGAGCAGAGATGAGCTGTCCCAGCTGAGAACCCCAATTGCTGACTCACTGAATTATGAGAAATAAATGATTGCTATTTTAAGTAGCTGAGGTTTAGGTTTTTTTTTTTTTTTTTGCGTCAGAAACTAACTGATACAGTGGAATAAGTACTATTATTGACATTGTTCAGTTGCTAAGTCGTGTCCAACTCTTTGGACCCCATGGACTGCAGCATGCCAGGCTTCCTTGTCCCTCACGATCTCCCAGAGTTTGCTCGAACTCACATCCATTGAGTCAGTGATGCCATCCAGCCATTTCATCCTCTGTCACTGCCTTCTCTTGCCCTCAATCTTTCCCAGCATCAGGGTCATTTCCAATGAATCAGGTCTTTGCATCATGTGGCCAAAGTATTAGAGCTTCAGCATCAGTCCTTCCAATGAATATTCAGGGTTGATTTCCTGTAGGATTGACTGGTTTGACCTCCTTGCTGTCCAAGAGACTCTCAAGAGCCTTCTCCAGCACCATAGTTTGAAAGCATCAATTCTTCAGCCCTCAGTCTTCTTTCTAGTTCAACTCTCACATCCATACATGACTACTGGGAAAACCATAGCTTTGACTATACAGACCTTTATTGGCAAAGTGATAACTCTGCTTTTTAATATGCTGTCTAAGTTTGTCATAGCTTTTCTTCCAAGAAGCAAGCGTCTTTTAATTTTGTGACTGCAGTCACTGTCCACAGTGATTTTGGAGCCCAAGAAAATAAACTCTGTCACTGTTTTTGAGCATAATCTTGCTAGCATGTGAAATGAGTGCAGTTGTGTGATAGTCTGAATGTCCTTTGACATTGCCTTTCTTTGGGATTGGAATGAAAGCTGATCTTTTCTAGTCCTGTGGCCACTGCTAAATTTTCCAAATTTGCTGGCATATTGAGTGCAGCATTTTAACAGCATCATCTTTTAGAATTTGAAACAACTCAGCTGAAATTCCATTCACCTCCACTAGCTTTGTTCATATTAATGCTTCCTAAGCCCCACTTGACTACATACTCCAGGATGTCTGGCTCTAGGTGAGTGACCACATAGATCGATATAATACACCCAGCCTATTAGGGGCAGAGTCCAGACAGGAAAAATCTAGAAGTGATATTTTCCCTTAATATTTCATGTGCAAAAGTTTCCAGAATTAATAGTTGTGGGGGGACCATATAGTAGGTTTTTAACAAAATTATATTGCTTTAATTATTGAATTTATTTATCTACCTTAAATTAAAAAATGATCATGATTGTGTCATTTTCTCACATTTAGCAAAGAGGTAAGTTATCAGAAGAGTGTATGGGGAAAAAGTTTTAAGACCATTTACCATGGACAGAGGAACCGGGTGGACTACAGTTTATGGAGTCACAAAGAGTCAACACAACTGCACAACTTACCAGAACAGAGCACACCATTATGAAACAGCGACCGCTCTGACATATAGTGTACTTAGGACAAAAACAAGATAAAAATTAAAAACATATATAGTAAATGGAACAGGCAGTGGAATTAGCTGGTGGGAAAAGGAAAGACTATTAAAGAACTAGATTTCAAGAGAGCTTCATGGAAAAGCAAGAATGAGGAATAAATTGTGAAGAATAGGGAATGCCTAAAACTCAAGAGAAAATCAGGTTCCATTCAAAATAGACCTAAGAGGAGAGAAAGTTTTATAATTAAAATGGTAAGAGCAAAACATGGAAGCAAGTAGTGGCCCATTTGGGGCCAGGCTTCCTTGTCCCTCACGATCTCCCAGAGTTTGCTCGAACTCACATCCATTGAGTCAGTGATGCCATCCAGCCATTTCATCCTCTGTCACTGCCTTCTCTTGCCCTCAATCTTTCCCAGCATCAGGGTCATTTCCAATGAATCAGGTCTTTGCATCATGTGGCCAAAGTATTAGAGCTTCAGCATCAGTCCTTCCAATGAATATTCAGGGTTGATTTCCTGTAGGATTGACTGGTTTGACCTCCTTGCTGTCCAAGAGACTCTCAAGAGCCTTCTCCAGCACCATAGTTTGAAAGCATCAATTCTTCAGCCCTCAGTCTTCTGTATCTTGTGGAAATGGGAACTGTTGAATATTTTTAGTAAGACCACAATATTATCAGGGTTCTGTGGAAAACCCATCCTATGTGAAACTGTTGTACCTAGTGGCAACACTAAGGTTTTTCTCCTGAAAACCAGAGGCAATTCTCCTAATGTCCAGTTTGCCTTTTTACTTCCAAACTGTTGTGATCAAATCAAGTTTAGGAAAATACTAGGAAAATGTTTAGATATGGAGTTTGGGCATATTCCAATCTAGAAAGTGGTTAATAAGCTTACACTTCTCATTTGAGAAGCACCTGACTTAGGCATGATAGATCTAAATTCCTCTTGCTCTCCTGTTCCATACTCCAGCTTTTCGGGTTCACCTACTTGCTTCTCAGGATAGTCCGAGTGTGTCAATTCAGTGAGTGGCCCAGAAGTGCCCCATACTCTTTATTGGCCATGGTAGCAAAGTAGGAGATGGTAAAGAATTATTCTTTATTACCCAAATATGATACTCTTTCTTGGCTAACGATCTAGGATTTTAAAAATAAGTAAGATGTTTTTGCTCTCCCTTATGAGCTATTAAAGAAAGCAGATACGTTTTGGTGTTTCGCGCAATGCTGCGAGGGGAAGATCAGAAGCTGACTACGAAATACTTCAGTTAGCTTTAGCAGAAGAGAAATGGAGGAACCATAGAGCATTAAGGATGAATTCAGGAAGACCCGAGACCATGGAGAACTTACCTGCTCTCTACACTATTTTCCAAGGAGAGTGTTTTAGACTAAATTAATAGAAAGCTACAATTTATTGAATGTACTTTGGATGCCGGGTACCAGTACCTGATTTGTTATTCGCAGCAGCAAAATGAGTACAAATGGGAAAGCAAGTTCTGTTCAAGATTCCACAGGTTGCTATGGTCACAGACTATGGAGCCTTTATCAAAATCCCAGGCTGTCGGAAGCAAGGTCTGGTCCATCGAACTCACATGTCATCCTGTCGCGTGGATAAGCCCTCTGAGATAGTAGATGTTGGAGACAAAGTGTGGGTGAAGCTTATTGGCCGAGAGATGAAAAATGATAGGATAAAAGTATCCCTCTCCATGAAGGTTGTCAACCAAGGGACTGGGAAGGACCTTGATCCCAACAACGTTATCATTGAGCAAGAAGAGAGGCGGAGGCGGTCCTTCCAGGATTACACTGGGCAGAAGATCACCCTTGAGGCTGTCCTGAACACCACCTGCAAGAAGTGTGGCTGTAAAGGCCACTTTGCAAAGGATTGTTTCATGCAACCAGGTGGGACCAAGTACTCTCTGATACCCGATGAGGAAGAGGAGAAAGAAGAGGCAAAGTCAGCAGAGTTTGAAAAACCTGACCCCACGAGAAATTCTTCTAGAAAAAGAAAGAAGGAAAAGAAGAAAAAGAAACATAGAGACAGGAAGTCATCTGACTCTGATAGCTCAGACTCTGAGAGTGATACAGGCAAGAGGGCAAGGCACACGTCAAAGGACAGCAAGGCAGCAAAGAAGAAGAAAAAGAAGAAGAAGCACAAGAAGAAGCACAAGGAGTGAGAGTGGAGAGTAGAGAGGGTGGTTGAGAGAAGGAATCCGGAGCCTGTGCTTTGAAGCTCTGGCTCCTAGAAAGACTCAGTGTGAGAATATGGCCTCCCACCCTCTCCTCTCCCATGGGAGATGGCGTCCCCTTGTGCCACAGCAACCACAGGCTGGAAAGATGGAGAAGAGGAGAGATGAGTAACCAGGAGAGAACCAATGAGATGGGCCGGCAGCGCCGGATGATCCGTGGGGCCATGGGAAGGCGGGCGACGGAGGCCTACTCAGCATCTTCAGCTGTTCCCTGGCCCTCCCTGCCATCTGGACGCCTCCGCTAGGGGATGTGCTGCTGGCATAGGAGAGATGCAAGAGGTAGAGGCCAAAGAAGCTGAGCTCGGAGGCTCCAGTGACCCAGGGACGTGGAGACCCTCCCTTTGCCCCTTCAGGGCCGAAGTCTGTGGATGCTGACCACCCTCAGCCCACCCCCGATAACTGGGAATTTTCCTTTTTGGCTCGTTATGGTGGTGGGGTTCTCTGCCTCTGCCTGCCACTAAATCAAGTCTTAGACAGACTTTCCCTCTGCACTCACATGCCCCTCCCTTGTTGCATGGTCTGTTCAGAAGCAGTATCTTTGGGAAGAGGCCTGGCTCCTAAATCCCAAGCCTGCCACTTAATAGCTAGAGACCCGAACTAGTCTGTCTTCCCCCTTTTGAATCTCCTTTCTTTCCAAATGGAGGGAGGCCATCTACTTTTCTGAATTGTCATGAGGATGGAAAGAAATAACAGATGGTAAGCCTCACACACACTAACAATGAATGGTGACCACACCCCCACACCTTCTTTCGGGGTCTCCTCCCCAGGGCAGTTGACCCAGCAGTGCTCAAGAATAAACCAAGGCTCTTTGAGACCCATAAAAAAAAAAAAAAAAGAAAGCAGATACTTCAAAAAAAAGAAAGAAAGCAGATACTTAAGAATACAGCCTTCAAGATGCTCTGATGGGTGATATGAATTGGATTAGCTTCAGTTTTTTTTCTTTCTGGTGAGCCTTGCTGTTTGCAAAGGTTGGAACACGAAAAACTTATTTTCCTAGACTTCCTTTCAGAAAGCCAGCATTCTTTATAAATTAGGTTCACCAAGTTGTTGCATTGGAAGGGCAAATTCCTGCCCCTTTGGTTGTTTTCTGTTGGCAAGCACTGTCCTGGGGCACTGGGTTATTCCGCTGCAGCATGCAAAGGCCCATTCGCCAGTTTTGTGGCGGGCAGGAGGCAGTTTCAGTTGAAATACTGGCAACTTTATATCGTTGATTTCTGATCCCTGGATCACTGGTATGGTGTGTGCTCTTGTACTCAGTTCTGTGGTGCTCTGAGAGTCAATTTTAAGAGAGTAGCCTGGAACCCTTGCAACAGAGTATAAGTCTAATTTCCGGTATTAAATCTGCTACTTAAAGTACTTAGTGTGGTCTCCGTTTTGTACACTGAACATTTACAGATGGTATAAAAGGTGTATAAACAAAGCAATTGAGAATCCAGCCAGGTGCATGACTAATTCCTCTTGGGAGATTTAGAGAAGTTTCAATGGAGGTAGTGACAATATTATGTATCTTGAAGGATGACTTGTAATTATTATTCAGTAGGTAGCTCGGTGTGGAAAGGGCAGTCTAGGCATTGCACAGAACTTGTGTAGAAGCACAAAGTTGTCAAAGACAGTAGTGTTCAGGGAATGATAAGTAGACTACTGGAATATCTACTGCCATGTTAAGTCCATCTTTTAGTACATTCTTTTAATGATATAGTTACACCTCAGTTAATCTTTGCCATAGACTACCAGTTTTACAGTGCTTTTCATGTTACAAATATATATATATTAGTATGTATATCACTCATGTCTAGTCAGTATATAGAGAAGGTCAAGGAACAGTTTAATAAAGTGATTAGGATGTGGGCTTGGCAATCAGACTGCCTTGATGTTGTCCACTCTCTCCATTTTCTTCTCTGTAAAAATAGACAATAATAGTACCTTTCCACTATAGAATTGTTTTGAGGATTAGAATTAACACATGTAAAATACCCAGAACATAGTAAACATGCAGAATACCTCAATAAATGTTAGTATGGTGATTCATTTTTCTTAGAATTTCACCATCTCAGCTGGTGAGTGCTGCATGTGCCAGTTTGTACTCTTTGCAGTTGAACTGACCTTCACAGATCTGTTTGTTTGCTGCCCTATGGTATTTCTTTATACTGTTATTAACTTGTTTTTGAGAACTATTTTGACATTTTCTGGCTATTAAAAGGTATTCTAAGAGAGTACTCATAGTGCCTAAAAATTGCCAAGGAAGATTTTCATCCTGGATGTTAAAATGCAAAGTTTATGATGATTCAGGGCATTTGATGTATTGGGTAAGGCAACAGAAGATAAATATCAGTAGAAATTGGCGGAAGTCCTTTGACATTTTAAAGGGTATTGTAAAGATGACAACAGAACAACAGTTGTTTGACAGAACCTGAAAGGAACTATGGAAGTGGTTCAGAGATTCTACTAAAACAACTCTGAGACTTTTTAATATTCTCACTTCCAAGAAAATATTTCCTACACTAAAAAAGCTATACTACATTTTCTTTATAAATCCATGCTATCTATTGTATTGTCTTCTTTCATCCTTGTCAACTCTTCTACATTTCCTGAGATCTTTGGGACTTGACTTATTACTGTTGATTTCATGGACTTTCCTGCCAACACTCAGAAAAACTTCAGCTGACAAGCTTCAGCTCTATCCAGTTTCAGCTATATGGCAATTCAGTAAAACTACATCATAGGCCCCAGTTGTCCAGCACTTTTGACCTTCTCTTTACATTAGGAGAGCTTTCTTGATAGCTCAGTTGGTGAAGAATCCGCCTGCAGTGCAGGAGACCCCAGTTCGATTCCTGGGTCAGAAGGATCCCTTGGAGAAGGAAAGGCTACCCACTCCAGTTTTCTGGCCTAGAGAATTCCAAGTACTGTATAGTCCATGGGATCACGAAGAGTCGGACAGGACTGAGCGGCTTTCACTTACATTAGGAACCTCTACATTCAATTCAGTTCAGTTCGATTGCTCAGTCGTGTCCGACTCTTTGTGACCCCATGGATGCAGCACACAAGGCCTCCCTGTCCATCACTAACTCCTGGAGTTTACTCAAACTCATGTCCATTGAGTTGGTGATGCCATCTAGCCATCTCATCCTCTGTCATCCCCTTCTCCTCCTGCCTTCAGTCTTTCCCAGCATCAGGGTCTTTTCAAATGAGTCAGTTCTTCGCATCAGGTGGTCAAAGGATTGGAGGTTCAACTTCAACATCAGTCCTTCCAATGAACATTCAGGACTGATTTCCTTTAGGATAGACTGGTTTGATCTCCTTGCAGTCCAAGGGACTCTCAAAGGTCTTCTCCAACACCACAGCTCAAAAGCATCAATTCTTCAGCACTCAGCTTTCTTTATAGTCCAACTCTCACATCCATACATAACTACTGGGAAAACCATAGCCTTGACTAGATGGACCTTTGTTGGCAAAGTAATGTCTCTGCTTTTTAACGTGCTATCTAGGTTGGTCATAACTTTTCTCCCAAGGTGTAAACATCTTTTAATTTCATAGCTGCAGTCACCATCTGCATTGATTTTGGAGCCCAAAAACATAAAGTCTGCCACTGTTTCCATTGTTTCTCCATCTATTAGCCATGAAGTGATGGGACTGGATGCCATGATCTTTTGTTTTCTGAATGTTGAGCTTTAAGCCAGCTTTTTCACTCTCCTCTTTCACTTTCTTAAAGAGGCTCTTTAGTTCTTCTTTACTTTCTGCTATAAGGGTGGTGTCATCTGCATATCTGAGGTTATTGATATTTCTCCCAGCAATCTTGATTCCAGCTTGTGCTTCATCTACATTGTGCTTCATCTTCATCTACATTGTGCTTCATCTTCATTTACAGCTTGTGCCACATCTACGTTAGGAAAGACCTTAAGTTCTCCCTCCCATACTGCCCATAGAGTACTGCTTTTTCTCACGAGAACTTTATATCTTGTTTTCATACCCCATCCTTGGATTTGCTTCATCACACTACACTTTAAAAAATTTTTGCAAACTTTTCCTAACCTAGATTAAAACTCTTCCCTTTATTGTTATTATTAATGCAGTTTTTTCTTCACATTCTTTCTTTTAACCAATATTTACTAAAGGATATACCATGTATGTTCTGGGCTTTTGGGATTCAGGACAGAAAGATGTCATCCCTATTCCTAGGAAACATTCAGTGTGATGGAAGAGACAAAATAGTAAGATTTAGAATAGCAGGCAATTCAAGCTATTAGAAAAACAGCTGCAGAATTCTGGGACATAGAACCAAACCTTCCTTGAGGAGAAAAACTAGAGTTCCATCTTGGAAGGCAGCTAGATAACAGCAGAGATTTGGTTTCCTGGTTTTTCATGGTTTATTTTTAACAGTTTTCTTGAAATATAATTCATACCTCATACAATGCATACATTTAAGTATACAATCAGTGGCTTTTATACTATTCACAGGTATATGGATCTGTTAGCACATTCAATTTTAGAATATTCCATCACCCCCACAAGAAACTCTAATACCCCTTAGCCTCACACCAGCTATCCCCACCCATCTCTTCCCTATTTGTCCATAACCACTAATCTACTTTCTGTCTCTTTATATTTGCCTATTCTGAACATATCATATAAACAGAATCATACAATACATAGTACTTTGTGACTACCTTTACATAGCAAGGTTTTCAAGATTTATGTATGCTGTAGCATATATCAGTATTTCCTTTATTATTGCTGAGTAATAATGTATTATATTGGAGAAGGAAATGGCAATCCGGTCCAGTAGTTTTGCCTGGAGAATCCCATGAACAGAGGAGCCTGGTGGGCTACTGTTCATGGGGTCACAAAGTTGGAAATGACTGAGTGACTAAGCACAATAATCTATTATATAGATATACTACATTTTATTTATTTAATCACAATTCTATGGA